AAATTCTATTTGTGGACACTCATTCATTCATTACTCAGAAATAATTCGTGTTTCAGGTATGCATTAAAGACCCAGTCTTGTAGAAGTGGCCAAATAGAAGTTACTATAAAGAAATCAGAATAGAGAGTGAGGATATGTCCAAACTCAGATAAGAGACAAGGGTGTGGACAATACAGTGAGCACATGGCTAGACTTTGGTTTTAATGTGAAGGATGTGAGTAGCTACAGAGCATGTGGCATAACCCACAGTTTAGAGGAATTATCCCAGCCATTGCACCATGTAACACCATGGTGACTGAATATTGGTATGGAATAATCCTTTTGTATACTGTAAAGGTTTGTCACTTGAATTGGTTTAATAAAACTCTGATGGGCCAGTAGTCAGGCAGGAAGTATAGGAGTGGTGATCAAACTAAAGATGATGGGAGGAGAAGACTAGAGTCAGGAGTCACCAGTCAGACACAGCGGGTGCAGGAGATGAACATGCCATGCTAATAAAGGTACCACCACGTGGCAAAGCATAAATAGAAATATGGGTTAATTTAAATGTAAGAGTTAGCTAATAACAAGCCTGAGCTATTGGCCAAGCATTTATAATTCATATAATCCTCTGTGTGTTTATTTGGGACTGGGGCAGTTGGGACAGGAAACATCTGTTTACATAGGGTGTTCCAAAATGTGGCCAAAATTTCCAAATAAAACCTGACAAAACTTAAAAAAGAAGATTCTAGACATACAGGAATGGAGTCAAGCATGGCCTCTTGGTATCTGGCTTCTTGGTAGCTGCATTTTCTCCAGTGAGCTCTGTTTGCTGGCAGCTCCTTTAAGACATGAGATGGCTTCCTGGATCAGTGCTAGCAGCAAAAATGGGCACCTCTTTTAAGAGGCCCTGCTACCAAACATTTAAATGGTGTTCATGAGCAGCCAGTGGCATGCTACTCAGTGGTGGCATGGACCTAGAAATGTCTCAGAGTTGGGGTAGTAAACATGCCTCCATCATGAGACTAAGACTCTCAGGGAACCAAAGGGGAGGAGCCAGCACCAGCATGCCATGATCTAAGTTGCACAGCAGTTTTTTTGCTCAGCAGACAGAAAAGGTTACAGATGGGCAGTAAGGACAGATTCAGACAAAAAAGCCTCGAAATGGGTGACAATGTGTTTAAAAAATAAATGTAGGCTTGGGAGAGAAAAGAAAAAGGATAGAGAAAGTCCTTAAAAAAGGAATAGAGTAATAAAAAATATAATAAGCCACATAAAGAAGGAGAATACACAAAGAGTCTGGATACTGTATGTTATTGTGTTGTCTTTAAATTTTTTGACTGCTAATGAGCAAGTGATAACTGCTGAGAGACATTTAATTATAAAACTGTTATATTAAACTAACCTATAAATTTTAAAAATATGTTGACTTCAAAATTTAAGTCAGAAGGTATGTTACTTTGGGAAAGAGGTTCTGCTTTTATTTCCACAGGTAATGAAAAGCTGCAGATTCATTCTAGGTAAAGAAAAATCAGGTTTGATCAAGGAAGACCCCCTGAAAATTTTCCAGTGGGAACAGATAGCCCAGATGATCAAATGTTTCAGAGCACCTCTGTTGCAGTTTTCTCTGAGTTCTGCATCCAGAACAGCTTCAAGGATGTTGGCTGAGATGATCCAGCCTCACAGAACACTTCAGTCAGGACTTGATCATAATCTTAAATTTTCTCAGGTTCCCCCAAAGATTATCAGTGTCCCTTAATCAGCAGGAAGTAGTCTAGAGAACTACCACCACATTCTCAAAAATAAATTATGTGTATTTGTCATTGTTTAGGGGGTTGGTTACAAGTTGTCATTGTTAATGGTCAGGAAAAAAAGCTGAACAAAGGAGATTAGATTCAGTGATCTTGTTGCAAAAAGATAAGTGGAGATATAGAAATGACAGGATAAAAGGGTAGATTATTGAATCTACTTTAATTAAAAACAACTATTAATCTTACATATTTTACATTAGTATGGATTTTGGTTTATTGATACAAATTTAAAGTTAATTTTGTTATAGTATATATATTTCTACTTTTGTTTAGGGTATTATGTTTATGAAGCTCATTTAAAAATGTAATATATAATTAAGAAATACAGACTAATAGCCACCTATACTAACAAACTTATAGTCATGTTAATTAGGTTTTTAAGGTCATACAGAAATATATTTCAGATAGATAATCAATATTCAAACACTTCAAAGACCTATAGAATATGGCATTTAAAATGTTTTAATAACTTAAACTTTTCTTGACAGTAAGACATGTCTGCTCCTGGCAGCATCAATTACTTCAAAGAGAATGGTGGGCATCAAAGAAACTCCATATGGAGTTTGCTTCTTTTATGGCAAAAGGTAGTCATTTGGGGAAAAAAACTGCCCTTGTCTCAATTGCTGACAGTATACTGTTCAAAGTGGACCAGCAGGACACAAGAAAGGTGACTGCCAAACTTTGCCAAGACAAGGTAGGACAGTCCTTCAAAATTCCCTGCTTTACAGGGATATGCTGTCAGATATGCTAAGCCTATAGGCCAGAGTTGGATGCCCCAACATTACAGAGGAACTTTGGGTGACTGTCCAGGCAGCAAGATGTCCCTGTCATTAGGTAACATTTCACCCTTCTGGGGTGTTTGATGGAGTTGAAGACTAGATAGTTATGATTATAGTTTTCCTTAGTTATGATTAAAAGGTAAATTAAATATAAAACTTTAGACTCACCACGACAAGATGGATAATTGTTTTCTCTGATTTTGTCAAATACAAATAGACTAGATATTGTAAGTATAATTCCTGCTTGATAACTGTTTTCTTATACATAATTTTAATATGTTCAAGTTAAAAACCTCCCTTTTTGATTAGACATAAAGGGTGAAATGCTGTGGGATAATCCTCTTGTACACTGCAAAAAATTGTCACTCAAATTGGTTTAATAAAATGCTGATGGGCCAGTAGCCAGGCAGGAAATATATGTTCCAAGAGAGCCCGTAGTTGAGTTTCAGCACCACGGACAGCATTATAATCTGTGACTTGGTAACTGCCCACTTGATGGAGCTGGCATTGACAAAAAGACAGACCTACCTTTTTTTTTTTTTTTTTTAAATTTCAAGTGGGTTATTATCCAGGATTTCATAAACAATTGTAAAAAATTAAGTAAGCAAACTAATACATATTGACCCAAACTAAGGATGATAGGAAGGAGAAGGGTGGAGTCAGGAGTTACCAGCTACATGCAGAGGGAACAGATGAGTGTGCCATGCTAACAAAGGTACCACCATGTGGCAAAGCATAAATAGAAATATGGGTTAATTTAACTAAAAACAAACCTGAGCTATTGGTTGAGCATTTATAATTCATATGAGTCTTTGTGTGTTTATTTGAGACTGGGGCAGTCAGGACAGGAAATGTCTATTTACAGAAAATTGCATTTTTAGGAGCTTATGATGCTGTCTAAAGATACACAGAATTCTAGGACAGGTTAGGCATGTGCCCCTAAAGAGTAAAATTTGCTGTAAAAAAATTGGAGAAACACTTGCTTGTTAAGAAAATATTTAAATATTACATAGGATATTGTAAAAATCCCCATAAGTATAAATTTCAATTAAAATAGTTTAATGGTATTTCATGTTTGTAACAGCTTAGTATTTGATCATATCAGATAAAAGAAAAATTCTAAAAAACAGAAAACTTAATTGATGATGGCACAATCTATGTAACAGAACTTCAGCACACAGATAATAAAATCTAAAGTCATTCTTATTAGATTCATCAACATTATGACTTCTGAATTACGTGCATGCATATTTTATGAATAAAATATAATACAACTAATTGTGTATTAGATAATATTATTTATTGTTCCGATTTAGAATCTTTTACCTTTAAATTTCTGAGACATGTGTCTATGTGTGTATGCGTGTGTGTTTGTGACCGTGACTGCAGTGGCTGTAGAGTCTAGAAGAGAGTGTCAGATCCTCTGGAGCTGGAATTACAGGCAGTTTTGAGGCAACTGATGTAGGTGCTGGGAATCAAATTTAGGTCCTCTGAAAGAGAAGTGAATGCTCTTAATTACAGAGCCATCATTCCAGCCCCTGACTTAGAACTTGTGAAACTAAAATTTCTGTCACATTTTACCCAGATTTGATGTCAGCTAACCTAAAACCTAGCATTCTCCAAGAGAGCCCGTAGTTGAGTTTCAGCACCATGGACAGCATTATACTCTGCGACTTGGCTCCAGCCCATGCTTGATGGAGCTGGCATTGACAAAAGACAAACCTACCTTTTTTATTTCAAGTGGGTTATTACCCAGGATTTCATAAACAATTGTATAAAATTAAGTAAGCAAACTAATATATATTGAACAGATCATATACACAGTAAAACTTTGGTTTTCTGACTTATTTAACAAGTGGGAAATTTTTAATTCTACTCCTACCCTCCCAATGAGACCTAGCTTCACACTATAGTATAGCACAATTATCACATCTCAGATTGCCTGTACATTTTGAAATGTTTCAGAAAGCTTGAATTGACTGAAGGTTTTTCTTCTCATCCTTTATTATTCTGTTAATCACAAACATATCTGTTAAGAAAACATACTTCCCTACAGAGATCATTATTAACGGTAATTGTTACAATTATTTTCATATAGCAATTTTTAGCAATGTTATGATAACTTAGATTTTATTTAAACATAATAGAAACAAATCAAACAACCCCCAAAAGTTGAACTATAATTTTTAAAAATCAGAGTATAATGACTTTCCAGTGTTTAATTTGTGACTAATTCGAGTAGTTGAATTCAAATACATTAGAATTCTGAACTATATACATTACACCACTTAACATTATTTGTTGAATGCTATTCTGCCAAATGAGCTTGCATTACAGTGATTCCATTTGTGACCAGGAGATGGAGCTGTCACGCAAGCTGCTCTCTTAGATTTATTTATTTATTTATTTTAATTTAGCATGCTGTTTTCTAACAGACAGTGGGTACCATCGAGTGAGTGAGTGTCAGAACAGAAAGCTAAGGCAGAAGCAGAGAGGATGCAGTGATCGCCCTGTCTTGGCTTTTCTTTTTTAGTAAGGATATTGCACATGTGAGATTTTACTTTCTGCTGTAGGCTGAATTCTAGAGACCTGCATTGGAGACTGTTATATTCATCACGCACATGGATTCTGTGCTATGATTACCATTCCCTTTATTTCAGGTAAGCAAGCATGATTCTATTTTTGTCGCATCGGTGAATCACTATTCTGCCAAATGATGGCATTTAAATTAAGATGTGCTTTGTAATCTTGTATTCAAACCCAAAAGGTTCAAATGCTCTAATTCTGGCTGTTCTGCCTTTAAAAAATCTTCCTATGCTAAAATGATCAGTGGCTGTGCCATGTTGTATTTTAATGTTTCGTCGGCTTCTCAGCCTTTCATGTCAGGGGCTATATTTGTTTAACTTCGAAAGATAAAGCTTTCAGAGTGAGGGATGGGCCTTCTTCTCACAAGGGAAATACTGATGCCTAATGCGTTGAACAAATCATAGAGATGTAATGAAGCAGATTAACATGGCAGTGGCTCCGTCAGAGCTCACGGCTGAGCCCCCTGGTCACAGCCTCAGAGGCACTCCAGCATCCTGAGCTCAAGGCCTTTTGAACAATTGCTGCTGCTGAGATATTGGGATTCTGTAGGCTTTTGTTTTAACCTTTCAGAATGGTATATAAATCACTTCTCTCCCACGAGTGAAGGTTGATGTAATGTGTTTAATAGACTCCGAGTGACAAGATTGGACTCCCCCTCCCCCCATATGAGAAGAACAGTGAAAACTAATTAATTGCTGGGGGAAATGGATTTTCCTTATTTATGAAAAAAAGGACAGTGACCATTTAGAATAGTTCATATTGTGGAAGGTGTTCACATTTTAAATGATTTTAGGTCATGTGATGTTAGCTGTGCTAAAGAGTGGAATGACTCAGGAGGTGGAAATGGCATGCAACAACCTTTTTTTCCTCTGCTTCTTATGATTTCTCATAAAGATTCTTTTATGGCTATCAGTCTAATCAGAGAAGGAAATATAGAAATGTCACAATCAAAAGATGTGGTTAAAATTTGGCTCAACATTTGGCTTGATGTTAATGAATTTTTAAAATATATAAAAATATTTTTGTAAGATTGTTAGCTGCTTCACTCCCTGTTTTGGAGTGTGTGTGTGTGTGTGTGTGTGTGTGTGTGTGTGTGTGTGTGTGTGTGTGTGTGTGGTGTTTGTGTGTCTGTTGTGGTGTGTGTGTGTGTGTGTGTGTGTGTGTGTGTGTAGGTGGCAGGCAGTGGGATGCATGCATTCAGGATGTTTCTAGCTCAGTCATCATTTTCCTATAAAAAAGGTGGTTTGCTGTGTCTGAGATTGTGAAAGCTGTGGGTTTTCTGAGATGTTTAGGAATACTGAAAAAAATGTAATTTGACTATGCAGAATTCATGAAGAGTTTTCAGTTATATGTAGTTCAATACACAGGATGATTTTAGAATCACAGATTTCTATTTAGCATACATCTATCTTCCATTTAGAGAAGAGCACCAGTGGCTGACAGATTACATGGATTTTACATTAGGTGGATTATCACACTTAGAGTCCAGGCTCAGTTAAAAGCAGCAAGTATGACCAGTACTCTGACTGGCAGTTTTCAGTGTCTTCTACAGCAATTATCTCCACTGTGAACATACCCAAATGGCATATTCCAGGTGTGCTGATATTGACTCTGCTTGATGTTGACTTGGCAAATTCTGTAAAATGGTTTCTTTCACTGTACATTGCTCAATGGATTATCATAAACAGAATTAAATTTACTTAAGGTTCTTTCCAAAAGTCAGAAGAAAACAGCTTAATTAAACACTTATAGAGACTGCATTCCTTAATATTGTGTTTTCACTTTAGATTAGGGATACTGTCTACCTTGTGCTAATGAATGACATAGGCAGAGGCTTATAGAAGCCCATTATTTTATTTCTTCTATCCTATAGAATACTCTCTATATAGAGGGAGTAATTTGTAGATACTTAGATAGTACTGGGTACAGATTATATACTATTTCTTCAATATCTGGAGAAAAGAAGGGGATTAACATACGTCATTTCTACACAAATATTTGTGAAATACCGTATCTTTATCCAAGAATAGTTCATGGTAGGGACTGAAAAGTAATTACAGGAACTGGAGAGATGGTTCAATGGCTAACAGTGAGTACCACCTTTGCAGAGGGACCTGCATTCAGTTCCTAGCACTCACTCTGGGCAGCTAACAATCTTTGATAACTCCACCTCCAGGGAATCCACACCCTCTTCTGCCCTCATTGAATATTGTATTCACATGGCATGCCCATTCACAGACATACACACAATTTAAAAGTAAAACAAAGCTTGAAAAAAAGAAAAGAAATTTGTTTTTGAGCATATCACACTTCATCCTGGACTCTGTGGGACATCTACCTATTTACCTATACACCATTACCCCCACACATACTCTTTTACACACACTGACACACACATACACTTAAATAAAAAACTAAATAAAGTGGCCATGGTGGCACATGCCTTTAATCCCAGCACTTGGGAGGCAGAGGCAGGCAGATCTCTGAGAGTTCAAGGCCAGCCTGGTCTACAAAGCAAGTTCCAGGATAGCCAGGGTTATACAGAGAAACTGTTTCAAAGAAACCAAATTAAAAAAAAAAACTAAATAAATCTTAAATGGAAATATACGTGTGCAGATACTGTCATTGCTTAAAATATTATAAACACCAAAATATGGGATGGAGAAAAGGGGAGAGTGAGTGAGACCAGGGTATGAGGGCCTCTTTTATGCTCAGTACTGTGCAACAACTTGGGTTCAGAGTTGTTGATGATGTAAATCCTAGGAAAAAATGAATTTGTAGAAGATTAAGCATAATTAGATCTTTAAGAAAAAGTTGACTATAAGTTAACAATATAGATTTGCTCATTTTAGGGGTAGGGGTGAAGTAGGCATACAGGAGGAAACTGAACAGGAAATTATAGAGAATAAACAATGATCCAGCATGTTTGTACCTTTTGGGTTGCTTGGTGTATTTTTGTTACTATTTGGAGGGGGGCTAGCTACTAAAAGTGAAGGAAGAAATTTGGTTTTCAGTGTTAAGTATTCAACACATTCAAGTAAACTCTCGTGGGGGAGATTTGATGTCTAGATATCAGAGTATTTGTTAAGGCTGAACTTACAAACCTGTATGAAGTCATAGGGATTTATTATGACTATGTATGAGACATAGTCATAAGTCTCACATAAATGCAAATCCACAGGATATAGAAGTACAGATAAATAACTATGGTGTAATCTTCAGGTTTGGAGAGTAAAGGAAATCTGGAAAGGACATCAGTTCATTACAGGAAGTGATGGGAGAGGCTAGACAGTCATCAATATGATAGGAGTCACAGCAGATGAACTGTATTTCTGAACAAAAATCAGAAACAGTGGAAAACCCCTAAAGCGGTTGGTTGGCAAGGTAGCAGGATGAAAGCAATGGACTGAGTTCTGATTAGTAAGTCTTAAGCAGACTTTAAGACATTAGAAAACTGACCATGACCAGGGCCTCTGAGGGTTAACTGAGAAATGAGACAGTTAGGAAGTCTGTCTAAATATTAGGGAACTGACAATTCAGAGTTAAGGTGATGTTCTATAGCATGTAGAGGAAAGTGCCCTTGAGGAAAATTTCATTTCAGTTAGGATCAGAGAAAACTAAGACCAGAAGTCATTGGAGAAGAATTGAGGAGAGAAGCAACAATCATAGTGTTAGGAGAGGCAGGAAAAGAGGTTCAATGTCTGTTTAAAACCTGAGACCAGGAGGTTAGGGGCACTGGCTGTTCTTCCAGAGGACATAGGTTGGATTCCCAGCACCCACGTGGCAACTCACAACTGTTTAAAACTCCAGTTCTATGAGATCAACCACCCTCTTCTGGCCTCTGTGGGCCCTGAACACACATGATGCGCAGATATACGTACAAGACCCATACACATAAAATAAAAATAAGCAAATCTTAAGGAAAAAAAAAAACAACTCACAAGATCAGAAGAGATGGTGATGCTTCAAAATACTGCTATCGAAGTAATTTTGAGTGGTTTGCCCTTGTCTGTATGATAGAACATGAGATTTCTTAAATGTATTGATTTCTCAGAAAGGGCCGTTTGTGGCATATGGACTTGCTTGAAGGAATAATTAATCCTCAGTAGCAAAACACTTCCCTGCAGAACACAGTTTGGTCACATTAATCCTTGAATGAGCAGTTAATAACACTGCTTCACAGCAAGCACATCATGCAAATTTCCGTCATCTTACTCTTGTAAGTACCACTTAAAACTTGCTCTTGGTGGCTCCAATGCACACCTATTCCACACACAGTAGTTTAAATGGGATGTTCTCCGTAGGCTTAGATGTTAGAATGTTTCAGCACTTGGTTCTGTTCTTTCTGGAGGCTCAGGAGGGACAGCCTTGTTGGAGGAAGTGTGTCCCTGGAGGCAGGCTTTGAGAATTTAAAGACTCTCACCATTTCCAGTTCACTCTCTTGTTTCATGCTTGCAGTTCAAGAGGTGAGCTGTCAACTTCTGTTACTGCTGCCACGCTTGCCCCTTGCTGCCACGATGGACTCTTATCCCTCTGGAATCAAACCCAAAGAAAATCTTTCCTTCTATAAGTTGTCTTGGCCATGATGTTTTATCTTAGCAACAGAAAAGTGACTAAGACGATGTATCAGTACTCTGGACTAGTTTACTCACTTCTGAATGAATTGATCAAGCTCTTTCCTTAAGTCTCATTTCATTTCATTGGTAACCAGATGTGTGTAGAGAGAAAACAGTCTGCATATTCACAAACTCCTTTACTAATGTCTATGGAGCTTCTTATCAGATCTCCTCTTCTTTCTGTTGGCAAGCCCAGAATTCTCTGTGCTCTTTCTTAGAGTTGATCTCTAGTCAGTCACAGAATGGCAAGGTGATACCTTGAAGATGTTGATGAAGAATTTCGTCCTTCATATTGGAGCTGTTCTCCCAGTTCAGCCAAACTTGGTTCAGTTCAGAACTGGCTGAATAAAGTGTGGCGTCTGGATTCCAGAGCTCCCTGTATTCTGTGTGGTCAGAGTGAGGAGGTCAAAAGACGACATGTGAGATGCAGGATGTCTACTGAAGGCTTTCCTTCCCTC